CTACCACAAAATAGCTAGTATAGAGAGAAACCCACTCGTAGATAGAACCTAGCGATCCAAACAATCTGTTTTGGCACTCTGTGTGTCAGAACCCACTGATTAAGTAGTCACACGACATCGTTGCTGTAAACTGGGCTATGGTCATCCTATGGAAACACAAAGCCCAGGCTCCAACGAAAGTTATACTTATCCTGAGGGTGGAACATCTAAAGGATCAATCACAAGCAATTAAAAGCAGGTAGTATGCTTCGGGATTTCCCCTTTGTATGCGCCAAATACTACGATTTGAACAGTATACCGGCAACTTTGAAGGTAAAATCATTCTCATCCATTGAGCCTTCATATCACTATTTCAACTTAGATAATTTATGATCGACACTTTATTGAGCTGCCTTTTAAGAAACACGATTATGTTCAAGTTTTTAGTAAAGCTTCATTCCATTAGAGCGAGGGTTTGATCACGATTTTGCAGCAGTCTTTCGTCCCTACTTTATCCATAGCGTTGTTGAAATCGTTGATAGGGAATACGTCAGTAACCTAAAAACGTAGTAGATTCATGAGTCGGATTTTTATTTAAAGCTATGAAATTGATCGCACCAGTCCTTTAACATTGATCTTGTTTCTCTGGAGGTATTCTAAAGCCCTAGAAAAACAGTGCTTTTGCCCAAAGGATCCGATCACCTGTAAGAAAGTATTTTAGTACCAGTAATAAAATAACTTATGGGTGGAGTTAAGCAACCTTAATCTCATTCGCAAATATCTTGGTTGGCGACCACTGTACCATCGCGTCGTCCGAGTACAGGCCGTATAATAAAAGCGTGCCTCCGCTGCGGACAAAATCAAGGGCGTCATTTACTACTTTCGCGGAGCCTGTTGCATCAATCTATTTACTCAGCTTCGAGCTATTGCACAAAAGACAGCAAGAAAGGACATACCACAACCTCAAATCCAAGTGGATTTTCCTCCTTGAGACTCGTCCATTGTGATGTCGGATCCGCACGGTCAAATTCGACGTAGACATCGGCTGCGTTTACCTGGCGAGCAATATCCATTTTTTTGCCTCTATTTGCAGCCAGGGTAACGCAGGATGCACCATTCAGCTTTAGCAACTGACTGAGGACTATGCCTAAATTAAATGATGGTGAAAGTTCGCAAATATAATGAAAACGAGATATTACCATGTACACCCGCACCAATCACAAGTGCATTCATGCCTGGTACCAACGAACCCAGCCTATCAACACCATGGATAGCACAGGAGATAGGCTCGATGAATATGGCTTCCTCATCGGAGATGCCACCGATTTTGTACACCATCTTCGCTGATCTACATAACGTGAATGGGTGTTAGTGAAATTTAGCAATAATTCGAGTGGATTGAGAGCATACACAGCAATGTATTCAGTGAAAGCACCAGGCAAATGAACTCCAATGATTTTTATATTCGTGCACTGTATGGGCTGGTTGCGGCGGCAGAAGAAACAAGCCTCGCACTGTATGGGGTAAACGAATTTAAATAAAGGGAAAGAAATCAGTGGGTTTAGCTGACATTTATGATATTATCCACGGCACAACGATCACCAACCACAAAGTCCTTGACTAATGCACCAACTTGAGAAACGATACCAATGATCTCATGCCCTGGAATTAGCTTAAATTTCATGATTAGTGGTTGTTAGACGATAATTGTTAATGAAACATTACTGGGAATTTGACACCAAACCCGCCCTGTAGTAGCGCTAAATTTAGCGTGCAACTTCGGAAATTAGCTCTGACACGAAGGAAGTACTTACGCTGCATATACCCACATCCGAGCCGCAGATACCACAGCAAGTGACTGTTTATAGTGTCAGCGAGAGGATATTAAAATACGGAGGGGCTTCAATAGACCTTTAACCAAAACTTGATTATCGTCGATCTTAGGTATATCCGTCTGAATTATGCTCATCTGCCCAGGCTGAATCGCTTAATCAGGATCGCAATAATATAGCAACGAGTAGAATAAACTCACTGCGTGATAGCATACAGAATTCATCTTCGCAGTCATATTCAAGTCCAAATGGTCCAAATATTTAGCACGCAGCGGTAGTGGGGATCATGTAGGTTTGTGAGGCTCGATAATCTGTCAAAGGATGGTCGATGATAATCAGGTTCTCACGAATATATAAATGACTCGGCCGGTAATAGTATCTCCTAAGGGGGGGGGGAAGCGAATAAAAGCAGTCCTTCACCGAAAGACGTTGGTCTATAAATACGACAGGAAAAGAAATAGAGCTGATGAGAAGGGAGTTGTAAATGTGATAAGTTACGGTCCCCAACGTCGAGTAAAAACATAATCGGCTCGCAGGTGTAGTAATTAGCAAACACTTCAAAGCCATATAATTCGGTGGGTAATACAAGGGCTCAAAACGAAAAGCCATGTTTATATTAGCCGTAAACTATGTTCTATGCACGAAAGAGAAGAGGGTATACTTCAATCTACGGTATACACACCTACAACATACCCTACCTAGCTTCTCTACTTGCCCAACTATTGCGCAGAATACTCCGGATCCAAGGATGGCTTCACCACGACCTTGCACGCACCCTTGCTGTTCATCTTGTCGAGAGCCTTCTGATAGTCTTTGATCGAGAATGCATCGGTTACCTAGTAAACGAAGTGAATTAGTATATTAAAGGGTAAAATTGAAGCTGGAGGATGACAGGAAAAGATAAGAAGGAGCGGGCAGGGAAGGAGAAGGAAGGAAGAGGAAAAGAAAGAGGGAAGGACTCACCATCCCCTTGACGTTAATCTTCCCCCCATCGAGGTACTCAACTGCACGCGCGAAGCAGTGCGTTTGTGCGAATGAACCGATGATCTACGATATACGATTAAACCATCAGTTCCGTCAACGACTCCCACACCGAAAAGTGAACGATGTAGGGCCAACCTTGATCTCATCCCCAAATATCTTCGCCGGCGACCAATGCACCCGTGCGCTGTCTGAGTAGACGCCGTATATCATCAAAGTGCCACCGCGGCGCACGAAGTTAATGGCGTCGTTGGCGACTTGTTCAGAGCCGGTGGCTTCGATCTGTACAAAATGTGTGTCAAGTTCGGAAGGAGCAAGGTCCAAAAAAGGTGCGAGGAAGGGAAATAAGCACAGAAAAGGCGGAAGAATCGAGGGACACAGGAAGAGGAATGAGCACATACGACAACATCAAACCCATACGGATGCTGCTTCCTCAACTCCTCCCACTGCGGTGCGGGGTCCGCACGATCAAGCTCGACATACGCGTCGCCCGCGTTCAGATCCTGCGCGATGCGCGTCTTGATGCCTTTGTTGGCTGCGATGGTGACGTGTGAGGCACCGTTGACTTTGAGGAGCTGAGCAAGGATCAGACCTGTAGGGGGAACGTTAACGACGAGCTTTTTTTTCTTTCAAAAAATGGAGGGAGTGGGAAAAGAGCGGAAAGAGAAGCGGAAAGAGGGCGAATTGTAGCAGGGAACAGGAACATGGAGGAACAGGAACGAACCAGTCGGCCCAGCGCCAAGAACCAACACCTTGACGCCCACCGGCGGGCTGAGCTTGTCCATCCCGTGGATGGCACACGACGCGGGCTCTATGAGGGTCGCTTCTTCGTCGGTGAGGTTATGGATCTTGAATACTTTTTTAGCTTGTCTGTGTGTTTGTAAGTGTGAGTGTGTAGAACATGGAAGAAGGGGAGGAAAGAAGAGGAAAGAAGGGCTGGAAAGAAGAGGAAAGAAGGGCTGGAAAGAAGAGGAAAGAAGGGCTGGAAAGAAGAGGAAAGAAGGGCTGGAAAGAAGAGGAAAGAAGGGCTGGAAAGAAGAGGAAAGAAGGGCTGGAAAGAAGAGGAAAGAAGGGCTGGAAAGAAGAGGAAAGAAGGGCTGGAAAGAAGAGGAAAGAAGGGCTGGAAAGGAAGAGGACGCACACAGCGACGTATTCCGCGAACCCGCCAGAAGTGGTTACGCCGAGACTGTCAAAGTTCTCGCAAAGGAGGTATTCTCCCCGGCGGCAAAAGAAGCATGAGTCACACTGTAAGAAAGCGTTCGAGTTAGACGGTTGTAACGATTGGATAGGGACGAGGGAAGAGGGACGCACGAGGATGGTGTTATCCGCAACACAACGTTCACCGACCTCCAGTCCTTTTACGCTGCGGCCAACCTGGGATATGATGCCAACGATTTCGTGCCCTGGGACAAGCTGGTAAAGTGGTAGGGTAAGTCTTAACTACAGGGGTATCGGGGAGTGAAAGGGAACGCACAGGAAACTTTCCAATAAACTCGCCCTTCGTTCATAGTTTAGCACTTTACGATGCTTCATGGTTTGATGGAATACCAACCTCGGCCAAGTGGTGGTCTGTTCCGCATACACCACAGCATGTTACTATGTCGCGTTGGATGAGTAAGAGTACCACGTGTATAGTAAGTTGGAGAGCAGTAGATGGATGCACCTCGGATTAAGACCTGATCATCGTTTATCTGGGGTATAGGCTTCGTGATAATCTCTAGTTTCCTGGGCTAAGACGCGTCAAATCCTTGAGTAAGGGGTGGAGGAAGAGAAATGCATACAGCGTGATAGCACACAGCGTTCATCGTGGTCGACATCGTATCTGGATGGTGTAGATTGCAGATGGTTGCTGATTGACGACGTCCTTGAGAAGGAAGGGTTGGGCATGGATGCTATTGCTTTCCCCAAGGACTGGATAGGGGAGGAACGCGAACTCGTGAGCACGGGAGGACGGGCCGAGGGTGATAGTTCATGAGAACGGAGAGATGGAGACTCGGTGGGCGTTACTGGTCCGGCGGGGCAGACGTGCGATGAAGATGGCGTTCGAGGAGGACAGTGACTACGAGGCTGACCAGGAACACTGCAACGAATAAGTTATGATAATGCAACTGGTAATGAGCTGCGAAAGATGGAACGCGAGTCAGTGTATAGAAAAATGTATATTGTTGATCCTTATCTGCCAAAAAGCTATTAAAGTCTGAAAAGAAATTCCTTCTAGCCGACTTGAACGACTGACCTCGTCATTTTAGATGCAGTATTTAGATATATACTAGTGACGCGCTCTACCAACTGAGCTAAGAAGGAGTTGAAATAACTTATTCGCTAGTTTAGATATCCACTGCAGGCAAGTTCTCGCATATCTACTGTAGATAGATGTGATTCGATCAGATCTTCATATCTTTGACTTCAAAAAGCTTAGCACTTCTACTTCACCCTAACCATGGCCGACGAACGCCTCACCCGTGTACTGTCGAGGCTTCAAAACCTGCCTTCCATCTCCCTGCCTACCGACTACCCTCGTCCAGCAGGCTCCAACAAGGTTATTGAAGCAGCCCACCTCGCACAGCTCCCCGAACAGACCTCACTCAGCCTCCTCAAGCTCGTGCTGTACAACGAAAATGAAGACGAGGATGAAGACGAGGAAGATCTTACCGTGAAGAGACCCTCAGCGTTCCATCTACTCCTAGCTGCGTTTACGGTGCTGCTGCACCGCTACACAGGCGACACGGACATCGTGATCGGCTCTTCATCTGCGGCAGCGCGGGATCCATTGGTACTGAGGATTTCTGTGGATCCCGCGGATCCATACTGGGCTATCGTTCGGCGCGTTCAGCAGGTAGAGAGAGAGGCCGAGGGGGACGCGTTGCCTTTTGATGTGATCACACGTGAGCTTGCGCATGAAGGCCCACTCTTTCGCGTTCGGTTCTTCGACGAGACGGATGAGCCTGAGGGCAACTTCATCCACTCTACGAGCTTGACTTCCGACATCACGATCTTTGTTACTCGTCCACCTGCAACTACGCGTGCGTCGCTAGCACCTCATATATCCCTGAGGATCCTGTACAACTCCCTCCTCTTCACGCCCACACGTATCTCCTCCATCATCGACCAGCTTTCTGTTCTTCTGCGTAAAGTTGCCTCAAACCCCCTTGCACCCGTGGGCTCTGTCCCGCTGCTCACCCCCGCGCAAAAGGCTAAGCTCCCCGACCCCACTGGCGATCTCAACTGGTGTGGCTGGAAAGGCGCTATCACAGACGTCTTCTCGCGTAACGCGCGTTTCCATCCTGACAGACCATGTGTCGTGCAAAGTCTCCCCACCGACCCCCAGGAAACGAAAACATACAGCTACCGTATGATCCTACATGCATCCAACATCCTCGCGCACCAACTCATCGCCGGGGGCGTACAGCGCGAGGAAGTGGTCATGGTCTATGCACATCGTAGCGTCGATCTTGTTGTGGCAGTCATGGCTGTGCTCAAAGCAGGTGCGACGTTCTCTGTCATCGACCCCGCCTATCCAGCTTCACGGCAGATTATCTACCTACGCGTTGCCCAGCCCCGTGGACTTGTCGTTCTCAAAGGTGCAGGGAGCATCAGCCCCTCTGTGCGTGAATTCCTGAACACCGAGCTCAAGATCCGCGTGGAGGTGCCTGCGCTGGGGATCCTGCCTTCTGGTGAGCTCTCAGGCAGTCCTAGTCCGGATGGCGTGGATATGCTCCCTGTGTTTGATCTTCGAGCAACCCGCTATTATTAGTCTTGGACAGGCTGTTGATGCTTTAAGGAATGGGGATCTTGGGTTGGCTGCTACACCTACTTCTGCACCTTCTAGCAGATTGTTGAATGTTCCAGGCACCCAGGAGCTCAAGAAGGGTGCACCTGCTCCATTGGAGTACGGCCAGGACTACGAAGCTCTCTTCCAAAAACTTCAACTTTCACACCCATCGATACCTACTGAGTTCAACGACCATCCTATCACCGTGTTCCTCACTGGTGCTACTGGATTCCTCGGTGCGTTCGTGTTAAAGGATTTGCTTTCTCGTGAGGAAAGAGTAAAGAAGGTGATCTGCCTTGTTCGTGATTTAAGTATCGAGAAGGGTCTGGCTCGTTTGAAAGAGGGCTCTACAGATCGTGCTGTGTGGGATGATGCGTGGGTGGCCAGTGGGCGTTTGGGAAGTTGTTAGTGATCTAGAATTGAAACTATTTGGGGTTGGCGAGGATGGGTGGACGAGAATCGCCAACGAAGCTGATGCGGTACTTTACAATGGTGCTTTGGTTAGCGATTTCTCTTTTTTACTTGCCAATTAGGTGCTGATGAATTGATATAGGTCCACTGGGTGTATCCCTACGAGAAGCTGCGCGCAGCCAACGTCATTTCCACCATTGCCGTCATCAACCTTGCCTCGGCTAGAAAGCACAAGTCTCTCGTCTTTGTCTCGTCGACTTCCGTTATCGATACGGAACATTACGTTTATCTCACGGAGAACGTGGCTCACAATCAATCAGACTATCACGGTGTTCCTGAAAGCGATGACCCCGAAGGTGCAAGGTCAACTCCCCAGACTGGGTACAGTTAAACCAAGTGGGTTTCTGATAAGCTCTGGCCGCCGAGGTTTGCGGGGATATATTGTTCGCCCTGGATATGTTGTTGGAGACTCCCAAGCTGCTGGTTAGTATTTATGTCAAAAGCTTTCTTTCATATGCTGACTACAATACCTAGTCACTAACACGGACGACTTCATCTGGCATATGGTCAAGGGCTGCGTCCAACTCGGACTGGTTCCCGATATCAATAACACCATCAACATGGTCCCTGTCGACCATTTTGCTCTCTGCACATTTCTGGCAGCGGTCTCACCTCTTTCAGAGGCTCCTCTTGGACGATCTGCCAACGAGTACCAACACAACAGACTTGGATGATTCGAATACTGCTGCCTTATTAAAGCAGTATACCGGAGAAACGAAGACTACTGTCGACGATCCGCTTATGGGTCTTTACCTCGCATGGCTAGTGGCTGCTGGATTCCTGCCTGCACCATCATTGCCTTCGCCACAAAAGGCATTGCCGCAACTTGTGAATACAGGGTCGATCAAGGCTGCTGGGCGTAGTGGGGTGTAATTCGAACTTGCGGTGCCATCAAAATATCACGTAGAGAAGAGAAAGGAATCGAATACCAGAAGCAAAATAATGTATTTTTACCAACATATACAAAGACGATATCAAAAAAATGATAGCTCAAATTGCACGTGCATATATTCAATAGGGCTGCTGTATTTTGTAATACAAATTGAATTCATTATTCGCAGATGACTGCAGGCATGCAAGTATGCTGAGTGTCTCTATCGTGTAATGATTGTGCTCTGCATCCCACTCACCATTCACGCACCATTTTCTACGATCTACGAGTCGTTCTGAGTGGTGTCTCATGGATCTTCCATTAGTTTCGACATTCCCCTCTAGTTGTTGGAATATATAATATAGCAATTGGCATTATAATGATGTCGATATTGGATTGGATGAATGTATTAGTCGAGCGAGAATGCGTTCGAACTTTCGAATGAAGATAAAGTTATGCGAGAACAAGTCCAAAGCTGTATTATATTATAGCTCCTGGGTAGCAGATCTGGCGAGGGTATCGATGGGGTGCAAAAGCACTACTTTCTGATTTTATGTATCCAGAATTTTTGATAGGTGAGGTTTCTAGTTTGCTATCGATGATTAGCGCGAATAGAGGCAGAAAAAGGGCGAAACACACTAGAATAGCCGATTTATTTCTTACCCTTCCCTTTACCCTGCACGAGTGTGAAACCATCCTCGTCCACTACTGGTTCTTCCTTCGCCTTCGGTGCAATCAACTGCGGTGCCTCCTCCTCCCCCTCCTCATCTCCACTTCCGCCCTCCTCATCCTCATCGCTCCACTCATCCTCATTTCTCACTTCCTCTTTAACCTCTAATTTCTTCCCCCCAATCTTCCGTGCCAGCTCCTCAAAGTTTCTCACTCCCTCTTCCTTCCCCTCCCTCGTCTCCTGCCATAACTTCATAATGTCCTTCGCCACGGCTTCCGCGCTCCCGTCCTCTACCACCACTTCGAATTCGTCAGACATTACTTGGAGGAGGAGCTCCTCAATGTATTGGTCGTCTGGAAGGGGAGACTGCTCGAATGAGTCGACGATTTCGGAGGCGAGCCAGGTGCGTTTTTCGGATGCGCCAGGACCGCCCCAGGATTCTTGGACGGCGATTCGGAGGGTTGACCAGAGGGAGAGGCGGGCGAGGACGCCACGCGCGAATAGGATTGTGCTGGCTGCTGGTGCATCTGATTGGGCTGAGGACGACATGGTTGCGATGACAAGGGAGATGACGAGGGGAAGAGAAGAAAGGATGCAAATTCTGAAGAGATAAGATCAAGTCAATCTACAATCTACGAGACAGCACGATAAGATAACTATATTGATGCCTGTTTACGACTAAAAAAAGTTGTTTTCCGCGACGACTATAATGCTCAGCGCCGTAGCAGCGCGTAAAGCAGCTCAGGCTGCTCGTCAGCAAGAGGTATCACAGCAGGACTCTTTGATAGCTGTATCTGATACTCAGGAAAATGCCTCAGAAGTTGTTGCACGGAAGTCGATTGCAAAACGCAAACCGTCAGGGACGGGGACATCGAAAGGCCCAAAGAAGCGGAAGGGGGAGGAGAATAAGGACGGAGAAGGGAGACGGATGGGGAGTAATGTGAAGGGGAAAGGGAAGGCGAAGGGGAAAGCACAGAAACAATCCGCACCCACGCGGTATTTCACTCAACCAACCACTGGCGCAGACGCGTTCAAAACGCAAGAAGACCTCATCGTCGTCGATTCCAATTCTGACTCAGAGTTATCTGCTTCTGCGCTATCTTCCGACGCTGATGAAGACAAAGATGACGAAATGGACATAGATGTGGACAACTTGCCATCAATGAGTGTCCTAGCAGCGAAGGGCACCTCGAAAAATGCGAAAGCAAAACGCGCATGGTCTCCGAGCATGCCTATCCCCGATGACTCTTCTTCATCTGAGGAGGAGGATAAGGAAGTAGAAGAAGTGACCCTCGAATCGCTGTTTCCGCGTCGAAAATACGCGCCTCAGCCTGTTCAAGACGAGAATACCATACTATCGACGTATACGCCGGCTGCAGAGACGTTATTCAGTCTCTCAGCAGAGGAAGTCTCCTCGATACTCCCTTGCGACAGCACCGAGGGTACACTCATCTCCCTCGTCCATACCCAAACGCTTACCCTCCTCGGTACATGCGGACTCACCATCTTACATGGGGCCG